TGACCGTATGCCCGTTGAAGAATGAGTCGGCACTAACGGTTTAAAAGATATAAGAGTATTAATAAAACATTTTTCGTAAGATTCAAACGTATTTTTTAAACAAAATATTAACATTCCTATTCAAAACTAACCGTAAAAATATTTTGAATTTTTTTTTCCCAAACGCTTATATTTTTAAAACTACAAAAGATTGGGTGTTTTTATTAATTTAGCCTAAATTTTTAATGCAATATTATTAAAAATAATTGGCCTTTACAGACTGTGGAATGTGTTCATTGTGTAATCCAAAGCTTGTCTCTTTGTCTCTCTGTCTCTTTGTCCCATACAATAAAATCTGACCAATAAAAACCATGTTTTTAAGGTAAAATTTGACAACAAAAAAGTTAAACAGCCTCTCACCTGAGCCACAACCAAAGGGAACTCACAAAAATCCCCATCCAAAACAGGTTTATGAACCAACTCCTCAAAGAACTCATTATAATTTGAGAGATCCCCAAGTTCTGATATCTTCACATCCGTGACTGCCCGAGCTAGAATCGCACCGCGGTTGTCGCACCGGAGGTTCAGCTTGCCATCCGCCGGGTTCGGCTCCAACCGACCAGCTGCCGGGGACCAGACCGACAACGTTTCTTCCAGACCAATCTTCAGTTTGGTGAACACTGAATCAAGTGATGAGTTAGTGTAAATAGAAGAAGGATTGTAGAAGAAAATAAGGTACATATGTAAAGGACACTGCCTGTCTAAATTTGAGAGCTCCAAAAGTTTCGAGGGGTTTAAGGTTTTGGGGAAGACAGTAAGAGATTTTGTCAGAGAAACATGGGGAGTGGCCATTTATGGTGCTGTTTTATTTGAAGGGCTTTGTCTTTGTCTGTGGAGAAGAGAAGAGGAGTTTGTTGGGTAATTATAAGGAGTTTGGGGTTTCCCTAAACTTGTAATTTAATTTGTGAATTCTTTTCATTAACTTAGGTGCTACGTTATGGTTGGTAATTAACAATTATAAAATTCCTTTTCTTTTTCTTTTTTTATTTTTTTTATTTTTTTTATTTTTTTTATTAATGATATCTATACACCTATTCCGAATAAATGTATATAATACGTAAAAAGTAGGTTGTATATATCAACGGCTAAGACTTCTAGGGTTCATATAGCTTTTACTCGTCCGTTAAATACTTTTTTCGCGAGAATAAAGAGATTTGAATCTTTGATCGGTACAGTTTAGGGTTTACGGTTAATAAATCCAATTTTGTAATAAATATGTATCACACGTAAAAAGTAGGTTACGTATGTCAACGACCTGGAATTCTAGGGTTTGTATAGAAAGATTTGCATTTTTGATCGGTAGAATTTAGGGTTTAGGGTTAATAAATCCAACTGACAATGTAGGTTGTATACGTCAACGACTAGGAATTCTAGGGTTTGTATAGCTTTTACTTATCCGTCAAATACTTTTTCGTGAGAATAGAAAGATTTGAGTGTTCGGTACGTAGAATTTAGGGTTTAGGGTTAATGAATCCAACTTTATAAGAATAAATGTGCATGATACGTAAAACGTAGGTTTTATATGTCAACGATCAAGAATTCTAGGGTTTATAGTTTTTACTCATCCGTCATATACCCTTTCGTGAGAATAGAGAGATCTGAACCTTTGATAAGTAGAATTTCGAGTTTAGGGTTAATAATATCTTATTAATATCGAGCTTCTTTATCGACATGTTAACCTATAAATTGTTTCAAACCATAAAAACACTAAGATAATGCAAACCCCGCGTGTCTGCAAATTGAATTATTACAAGTTTGAAAGTACATAGATTAAATCGTTAAAGTTTAGAGACTAAATCATTAAATTTACAAAAGTTCAGGGACCAAAATGTTAACGAACACTTTAGTAAGCGGGGTTTTGAGTTGGAAAAACAGGTTGGATTGGCACATAAGGCATAAAATATTGGTAGAGAAGAAAGAATGATGTCTCCAACTTTGGCAACACTTAGCCTTATATTCTGCTCTTTACCTAATAATAATTCCCCAATCTTTTGCTTCAATCTTCTATTGGCTCATAATGTATTATTTTGCCTAAGATTCCACACCCTCCACTTCCTCTATTCTATGCCAAATCACTATATAATCAACAATTTCTTGTGTTAATATGCAGCTAAGCATGCAAATTAATGGCTTTACATATACCCATTTGGTAGATGGAAGATTAATTTGCTAGTGTTGTTTAAGAAGATAAGAACTTTATGGTCTATTCGGGTGAATTATACGTAAAAAGTTCATTTTTACGCATACCCACATGACAAAATGAAGATAGTTCGTTGGTATTCTATAAAAAGGTGAGAATTTTTTGTTTATTCTGGTGAATTATACGTAAAAAGTTCGTTTTTACGTACACCCACATGAGAAAATGAAGATAATTCGTTGGTATTCTATAAAAAGATGAGAACTTTTGGTTTATTCGGGTGAATTATATGTAAAATGTTCATTTTTATGCACACCCACATGATAAAATGAAGAGGATTCATTGGTATTTTGGAAGAAGATGATAAGTTTTTGGTTTATTCCGGTGAATTATATGTAAAAAATGTTCATTTTTACGCACATCCACCGACAAAAAGAAGATGATTTGTTGGTATTTTCGAAGAAGATGATAACTTTTTGGCTTATTTCGATGAATTATATGTAAAAAAAAGTTCATTTTTACGCACACCCACGTGACCAAATGAAGATGATTCGTTGATATTTTCGATGAAGATGAAAACTTTTAGGTTTATTCCGATGAATTATGTAAAAAAGTTCATTTTTCGGTACACCCATATGACAAAATGAAGACAAAATGAAGACAAGATGTGACAAAATGAAGACAAAATGAAGATGATTCATCAAAAAAGACGATGAATAGGGTTTTTGAGGGTTGTCATCATAATTTGTTGATTAATAATAATAAGCCAAACCGACCAGACATTTGTTTAGTGGAATTAATATGAGTGGTGGAGGAGCTTTAGAAAAGGTATATCAATCTTTTGTTTTTGGGTTTGGAAACTGTCGGGAAGGCTAAGTGGAAGAGAAAGGGAGTTGCTTCCATTATACCCTAATTCTTAAAGCTTAATGCATGCATTAAACAATTAATGCCTATCTTTAGTGTAATTACTATCACATTAACCTTAATCAAACTCAATTACCCAAAGTATAGATTGTGTTCTCGAGTTTCTTAGTAGGTGTAACAGCTCAAGCCCACCACTAGTAGATATTATCTGCTTTGGTCTGTCACGTCTATTAAGGAGAGGTTTCCACACCCTTTTAAGAAATGTTTGGAATGTTTCGTTCCCTTCTCCAACCGTCGTGGGATCTCACAATCCATCTCCCTTAGGGCCAGAGTCCTCACTAGCATATTGCTCGGTGTCTGGCTTTGATACCATTTGTAATAGTCCAAGCCCCAGCATTCTAGTTGGCACACCGTTCAGTGTCTGGCTTTGATACCATTTGTAACCGCCCAAGCCTCAGGTACACCGATAAATGTCTAGCTCTGATACCATTTGTAACAGCTCAAGCCACATTGCTCATTTTCTGGCTCTGATACCATTTGTAACAGCTCAAGCCACACTGCTCAATGTCTGACTTTGATACCATTTGTAACAGCTCAAGCCACACTACTCAGTGTCTGGCTCTGATACCATTTGTAACAGCCCAAGCCCTAGCGTCTATACTGGCACATTGCTTGGTGTCTGGCTCTGATACCATTTGTAACAGCCCAAGCCCTAGCGTCTATACTGGCACATTACTTGGTGTCTGGCTCTGATAACATTTGTAATAGCTCAAGTCCACCACTAACAGATATTGTCTGCTTTGACCCGTTACGTATCGCCATCAGCCTTACAATCTTAAAACATGTCTATTAGGCAGAGGTTTCCACACCCTGATAACGAATGCTTCGCTCCCCTCTCCAACCGATGTGGGATCTCATAATCCACCCCCTTAAGGGCCAACGTCCTGCTGGCACACTGCTCCGTGTCTAGCTCTAATATCATTTGTAATAGCCCAAGCCATCGTTAGTAGATATTGTCCGCTTTGGCACATTACTTATCGCCGTCAGCCTCAAGGTTTTAAAACGCATCTGTTAGGGAGAGGTTTTCACACCTTTATAAAAAATGTTTCATTCTCGTCTCTAATCGACATGAGATTTCACTGTTATACATGGAAGTAATATATGTATAGTAGTTAATTGTAACTAATCGATAACGTCTGATCACGTTTGTTCTCGAGTTGAGAGATGTCCATATCAACTTCTAGATTTGTCCATATCGCACATTTTATGCTTAGTGCATTAATCGTTAGTTATATATAAACGATCGTGTTTGTTATTGGGTTAAGCGATGCTTTGGATTGACTTAATTATCCGAGTCATACATTTATTGGATTCAGATGTTTCTCGTTAGCTTCATAAATTCGCACCTGCACTGAGAAAACTCTCACTCGGTTATTCTATACTCTTAGTTGGACTAGATTGATTTTTAGGGTTACGTGCTTAACTCTCGCTCGTTTGTTTTTTCTTTATATAAATGTTTTTTATTCGACAAACAAACTCAAATTTAAAAAATAAAAAATAAAATTGTTATCAAATCTAATTTCAATTTTTAATTTAATTTTTATAATTTTTTTTTATAAATTCATTATTGATTTTTTCTAATAAAATAAAAGGTGCAAGTTTTAAATTTTTAATCCATTAAATTGGAAATACTAAATCACGTAAATAAAAAAAAAAAGAAAAAAAGTTAAGGCCTACGTGGAAATAAAAATAGAGATCAAAATTTATAATTTAACAATGAACGACACGTGTTGTGTGGACCCAGTTTACCAGAGAAAGACTCTATGCATCCAATAAAAAAGCAGCCACCTCATTGAATGACACGTGTACAGTTCGGATTAGTTCAGACTCAGTATTCTTACGTGTCATCCAAACCACGCCGAAATCCCAAATTCACTCTAATTTCCGCGACTTCATAAACAAAAAAACAAATTGGATTATTTCTTTAAATCCAATTCTCAGTTCTACCGGTAGAACTCAGAATTGAAATCGCAGAATCGCCGTCGGGTTTTTGGCGAATTCTTCCGATCAACCGTGGCTTCTTCAGGATCCTCAGGTCTGTCTCGGAGAAAACAATCGGCTTCCGCTTCTACTCCGCCGTCAGCGCCGACGAGGATCGTCTACAGAGAGAGAGTTCCGCCGTCGCATCCCGATTTGCCTTTCTGGCAGCGTAACTGGTTCATTGCCTTGCTTTTCGTTATGGCCATCGGTTTCTTCTCTCTTGCGATTTTTCTCTTCCTCGGTCTCGATCTTCACCAGGGCTCCCCGTCGTCCGCATCTGCTGCGTCCTCCGAGGGCGTTGAGGTTTGAATCCGTTTACCTTGTTTATGTGCTTTGTTCGAGTTCGCATTTGAGCCATTCGCGCTGGATTCTCTGATATAGATAGATTATTGGCGAAGAAACGATCAAATGAAATGAATTAGGGAATGTTATGATTTACTTGTGAGGAAGTGGACAGTTTTGATTTGATTCGAACTTAGGAGCATAAAAGATGAAAGAAACTCACTTATACGCTGATGGATCGTACATTGAAAATCCATTGAACTTTTCAACCTCGTATTCATTTACTGTAAAACACACGTGAAGCCATCTCTTAAGAAGATTTGGATTTTCTTTCTGGAAACTCCCTGCTTGGCTTAGAACTGATCAAATTAAACGAATGAGGGATCATATAATGGCTAATGCGTGAGGAAAATGGCGATGTGGATTCGAAATTATCTTATAACCATTAAGTTGAAGGAATCTGCTCAAACGCAGTTTGATAATTCGTTGGAAATCGCATAATCTGTTCAATCTTGTGCATGAATCTATCTCTTAAGCAGATTTTGGTTTACTATTCAGTAATTTCATAATTGAGCAACTGAATCCTACGATTGAAGTCGTGATGTTGATTGGTGTTTTTGTTGAGGACAGATTACTTATGGAACAGTTCTAAAGCTAATGCACGAGAAAACTAAATTCCGTTTGCATTCCCATGACGTGCCTTATGGTTCTGGAAGTGGACAACAGTCGGTCACCGGGTATCCAAATGTTGATGATGCCAATAGCTACTGGGTAAATCTCTCCCCTTCGAGTTCTTACTCTTTTTGTGGAACAAATGTTGTTATCTGTTTCGTCCCCCCTATAATGCTGGTGCTGGTTTGCAATTGTAATGAGTCTATCGTTGGCAGATAGTAAGACCTGAACTTGGGACATCAGCGAAACAGGGCGACCCCATTAAAAGTGGGACAATTATCAGATTTCAACACATGGGGACAAGGAAATGGCTTCACAGCCACTTGCATGCATCCCCAATATCAGGAAATCTAGAGGTCATTGAATCGCATTCATATTTAACAAATTTTTGTTATTGGATAATCTCATGATCATATGTCCATTGCATTGCAACACTTTGCGTTGTCTGCTGGCTGCTTTGATGTTCCTCTCGTATTGAATTTTGTTAGTTGCTGGTGTTGACTTCATGATGATTGAAATCATAAAAAAGGTTCAACTCTGCCACTGTTTAATCATCGAGCCAATATTGTTTGCATATAGTGGAACTTGGGATTATATCACTTAGAATTCAATTATTAGTTACCAAAAGGAAGCTATATGGACCGCATGTGTGATGTCCCACCTTAGTTGGGAAGGAGAACAAAACACCAGTTATAAGGGTGTGGAAACCTTCCCCTAGCCGACGCATTTTAAAGCCTTGAGGGGAAGCCCGAAAGGGAAAGCCCAAAGAGGACAATATCTGCTAGCGGTGGATCTGGGCCGTTACAGCATGCTTGATATTGTTTGTTATTCATTTTTTTTTTTTACTTGCACGAACTTTTCTAGCATATGAACTTATCCTCAGAATGTTTAGTTCATTTAGATGAACATATACCAAATTTCTGGCATTGACAAACTCCAAAGATTGTGTTGGTTGAGCATTTTATTCCGCTATTAGAAATGTTTGCCTGCGCTAGATTTCTGTTATTGAATATCTCAAATAAACCAAGTTTGGATTGTTGACCATATTATGTAAAAGACAATTCATTTCCTTTCTTCTTACAAAACGTCAGTTCGTGCTATGAGTATCCACTGACAATTAGAAAATCACCTTTTTCTATCAGTGGACATGAGGATTTTCTTCTGCTATTAGTGGTCAAGGGATATGAGGATTTTGCTTCCAAATTATGGCCATGGTTTCCAACTCTCCATGCTTGCTAATGGATATACTTGCTAATGATTCCAAAATCTAATTATGGTTTCTATGCTTGCTAATGATTCCAGACTCCTTGGTGCAGGTTAGTTGCTTTGGCGATGATTCGAACTCCGACACTGGTGATTACTGGAAGTGAGTAACCATTTACTATTAAAAAATGTACAATTACACATCTTGATTCATATGTATTGGTGGCTTCTCACCTGCAAAGTTGTACAGGCTTGTGATTGAAGGGAGCGGGAAGACATGGAAGCAAGGACAGAGGATTCGGCTTCAGCACGTCGATACCGGGGGCTACCTACATAGTCATAACAAGAAGTACAGCCGCACAGCCGGAGGGCAGCAGGAGGTGAGAACTGTGAACAACAATCTCAATAAACCAGAAAATGTGTTATTTGTAAGTGACAATTCGTAACCATTTTCTTTATACCTTGGCAGGTCTGTGGAGTCCGGGAAAAGCGAGCTGACAATGTCTGGCTGGCCGCGGAAGGTGTTTACCTCCCTGTTATGGAGACAAAGTAGAGGTAACCGTGTATTTAACTTTCAAGATTAGGTTACTAGGTTTTTGAAATATTGAGAAATTTTTTTAATTTTTTTAATTTTTTTACCGTTGAGTTGATTATTTAACTTAAGAATGGTCGATGAGGTCGTTACTTCAACAGGATCTGTTCTATAGGTTGTATAAGGTTGTTCTTGAGTTTTTATAGAACGACCATAGCTTGCTGCTATTCATTGACAATATGTTACGGCTATTCGGGGGGAAATTGAAAATTAATGAAAATCTTCCATTTTCAAGCAGCTTTGCTTCCTTGTACTGCTGGCTTGGTCTTGTGAAAAACATGCTAAATTTTGTAAAATTAAAACTAATTGAGTCTTTGTTAAGAACGGCGATGATTTACGTGGCACACAATTTCATGAATGATTTTATACGAGATTGTGATGAAAGCCATAGCTTACGATCATTAGCTTTGATCCTGCCACTAGGCATTTTATTAGTACACAAAAAAGGACGAAATTATATATTATTTGAAAAAATTCGCCAAAACTGTTGGATAGATAACTCAGTCTGAATTGAATTCCTTCTCTAGCATCTACCAATTTCACCATATCCTCCTCTTTCAAACTCTCCAGGTGGAATACTTAACGCGTTAGCTACAACACTGAACACTGCACGAGCATTATCAACTGATCTAGACTCTTTGTGAGCAGAAAATAGTATGTTAGGTTAAACGTCAACAAAATATAGTCAAATAAAAAAAATGAAAAAGAAAATCCTAAAGGGAAGCAAAATATGAGCGTGATGGTCTTACAATGAAGGTATATTCAACCATTTTTCATCAAAACTTGTATCGACCCAGATCCACCGCTAGCAGATATTGTCCTCTTTGGGCAAGGTTTTCACACCCTTATAAAGGGTGGTTTGTTCTCCTTCCCAACCAACGTGGGACATCACAAAACTACTTGAACTTTAGACATATACCCCAACTTCACATATTATTGCAAATCACATCTACTTTTGACTTCAACACCAAGAACTTCCATGTGCGAGTAAAATATATACTCAAAGCCTTTGGGAAAAGCCTGCACTTCATTATGTTCTGAAGACCTGTAATAGCTAAAGTTATAAGGAAAAGAAAGAATGAAGCTTTTTCGCAGACCAACTTTAAATATGTTGGCAGTTGTAGGCTTCAAATTCAATAAAAACAGCCCCTCATTGCATTAAAAGAAGCACTGTTTTAATAATACTACATTTGCAGTATCCATGTTCTCTCCTCAGCCCACACAATAATTTACAAACCAAAACTGCATCTTATTTTATTTCATTTTTGGATTGTAGAGACTGAAAACTGAACTATCATCATGCTTTGAGAGCCTAATAGTGAACGAATTATGATTTTGGGATAATTTCAATCTGTTCCTAATGATTTTGAAGTTTTGATTGATACACATGCTTTGTAGAGATGGATATGGGCTCTACTTATAGATACTTAATGCCAAAAAAAAAAGCATCAAAAGAAAGATCAGTCAACAGAAGCCTTAAAAGCAGTAGAGAGTAAGAAATGGAAGAGCATTGAATTACAAAATACAGGGCAGTCCCGCAGGTGAAGTAAATTTAAAGCCATAAATGCCTTCATCTACCTCGTGGAGCGAGCTCAGTTCCTTTTTTTCTTTTTTTTTTTTAATAAAAAAAATCTAAACCTTACTAGAAAATTGAGAGCTAGATAGCAAGAGGAGGAACCTAGAGAGAAAAACAGGAAATCAAGCCCCTAAATTTGTATTAGTAGTAGATTGGAATCCCTACTTTTCCAAAATCAAACTAAATATAACACAAAACTACAAAGTTTGGTGAAATTGCAAGTAGGTTGGGGAGAACGTGGAAATTACTCCCTAACACATACATGTTTTAAAAATCATGAGAGAAAACTCGAAAGAAAAAATTTAAAGAAGATCATGTAAGCTTGGGTTTTTAAAATTGAACAAAAAATTTGTATTCTAGTGTTGAATAGAACAAATTATTCAATAATATACTATAGATTTCACCTACCCTAATCTTTTAAGTCAACATCATGTTCACTCTCTAGTCAACCAGAAATAAAATGGAGAGTTTAGCTCAGATACCTATTCAAACCCTTTAAAATGAGAAGCTAAATCAATACAACCCTAAACTTTACATACTTAAAAGTTATAATATAACCATATATTCAAATATAAACAGAGCAGAAGAAGACAAACCCACGTTGATGCGGTTAATTGCAAGAAGTAAAGTCTATCCATTGCAGTTTTAGAGATCCAAAGAACTGCAGAGAGTAAAATATTAGAGAGCCACATGTTATGAAATCATAAAAGTAAAAGATTCCGAGACAAGAATCGGCAGTGAGGCAGTCACAGTTTGAACAAAGCCTTCCAATTTCAAAGAAGAACACTAAAATAGAGAAATATCTTTCTCTGGTTTCCTTCTTTCTAGGAGGAAAAAGGAAAAGAAAAAGATGACCGACAGTGTTTGAGACAGAAATATGTGGCGTGTAAATATTAAATTCTATAGGGGCCTGCATCAGAGACAAAGGGTACCAGTAATTTATTACAATACTTGGATCTCGAAGCCTTCCATTATTTTCTATCACTAACTCATCCACAGAGGTTTCCAGATCCTATGGTACGAACTACTGCTGATTCGACTGTGGGATTTCGTGGATCCCATTACTTTTGGTTATCAAATCTTGTTCTTCACTTGGATTTTGGATTTCATAATCTAAAAGATTTTTCTTGTTAACTTCACAATTGTTCCGTAGGGAATCGAACATCAGACTTTCGGGAGGGTAAATGGTAACTATCAATTGAATTATGCTTGGCCTTAGGTGGCTTTACGATTTTTGTTTTTTAGGTGGCTTTACATGAGATCCTACGTCAGTTGGAGAGGGAAACAAACCATGAGGTTGATGACGATACGTAACAAGCCAAACTGGGCAATAGGGTTCGAGTTGTTACAAATGGTATAAAAGCCAAACACTGGGCGGTGTGTCAGTGAGGATGCGGGCCCCCAATGGGGTGGATTGTGAGGTTTCACATTGGTTGGAGAGGGGAACGAAGCATTTCTCATAGGGGTGTGGAAACCTCTCCCTAGCATACACGTTTTAAAATTGTAAAGCTAATGCAATATGCAACAGACCAAGATAGACCATATCTGCTAGTGATGGCTTTGGTTGTTACAGGTTAATTTAATAATTTAATATATAAGGGTTGAAAGAGACTCAATTGAAACAGAGGGATTAAATTGCAAAAATACAATAGGAACTAACATATATTTCACCCAATCTACCAAACAAATCTTTAATATATTTGTAATATTTTAACTTTATGATAAACAATAAAGGCCAATTGATCAAAGAAAAAATCAAGATACACAAGATAGATGGATTTATGAAGGGAGACTAACTTGAGAATCTTCAATAACACCACGACTCCCTGTAGTTGAGCATTCAAAATGGCAAGCTCTTCGAAGTGGAGCTTGACGTGAGCGACTTGAAATGATCAGAAGGCACAAAATCCTGAGGCAAATTGGCTCTCTTCACAATTCTCCTCATGTTGTTTTGCAAACTCTGCCGCACCAATTGCTTCACAGCCTTCTTCTCTTCACTCACCAAATCATCCAATCCTTCCAAACCTTCAGCAGAACCTAGAATTGGATTAGTAAAAGAAGATGAAGAAGAACCACAAATTGGAGCAGAAGAATTTCCCCCAAAATGATCAGGGATGTGTTTTCCTTTATCAACCCTCAAACACTCCAAAATCCTAGAGGCCCTCTTCTGAGCCAATGTACTGCCCAAAAGAGTTAGTTCCAACAAAGCTGATGAAATCCCAGCTTCAATCATTGCCTGTTTATCACGGTAAGATTTGTGCGCCATAACCATCAAAATGTAGGATGCTTTCTCTTGACTGCCAGGAGAATCAGCCCAATTCAAGACATCAATGAGTATTGGAAATGAATTAGGGAAAGTGCTTATGGCCTTTCGACCTTCTGGGGTTGATACCACATTGCTTAGAACTGAGAGGGCTCTTTCACTTACTTCCATGTCTCCCAACGCGTTTAGAAGAAATGGGATCAACTTAGTTTCTAAGATAAATGGAACATTGGACGGAAAAATAGAGACGTTATAAAGCGCACGTAGAGCGTCTTGCTTGACTTGCGAACTACTTTTATGATCTGGGTCGTGTAAGTTCTTTACCAAGAATGGAATTGCACCCGATGACCCAATTACCAGTTTGTTGGTATCTAATGCACTCAACCCGAGGAAATTCGCAACAATGGCTTCTGAAACAGATGGATTTGGGGAATTATCAGATTCGATCAGCTTAAGCATTTTGTGTACAGTACCCGCTTTAACAATGGCCGCCTTGTTCCTGAAAACAGAGTGAAAAATTAACCAAAATCCTAAGAACTAATAACTCCGGAAATAAATTATCAATCAATGCACGTAAATTGGACAGAAAAAAAGGGATCATCATGTAGCAAGAATAAAAATTTATAGACGGACCAAAATAGGGATCTCTAAAATGATAGTCACAGGTTGAAATTTTCGTTTTAGTTCAATGCACAAATTTACATATGAAGTTCCGTAGTAATTTTTATTGAGAGATGGTTTTGAAAGTTTAAGCAGGGTGAGTAATATTATAATTTTAACCCATTTTTAATCGTTGCTGTCTCTTCTCATTTATTTCTGATAGCGAAAAAAGAATTAGAATAGTGAGCAAATAAGAGAGGACCCAACTACCCAATGCCTTCAGGACATTTCATATAATTTCACCATCCTTCCTTTTCATTTTTTCTGTCTCGTTTTGAGAGGGAGGGAGGGGGTGGAAGTGTGGTGAGATAGAGACAAAACAAGGACATAGACATATCAATCACTGGAAAAAAGAGCACACTGGAATCAGAAATTAATAGAACTTGGAATTGGAATAGAAAGCAATAAAACAAAAAAAATCGGTGCAACAAATTAGCGGAATGAAAATGACTTGCCAGTACCATTCCCGCACCCAAAAAAAAAAAAAAAAAAAAAAAAAAAAAAAAAAAAAAAAAAAAAAAAANTTACATATGAAGTTCCGTAGTAATTTTTATTGAGAGATGGTTTTGAAAGTTTAAGCAGGGTGAGTAATATTATAATTTTAACCCATTTTTAATCGTTGCTGTCTCTTCTCATTTATTTCTGATAGCGAAAAAAGAATTAGAATAGTGAGCAAATAAGAGAGGACCCAACTACCCAATGCCTTCAGGACATTTCATATAATTTCACCATCCTTCCTTTTCATTTTTTCTGTCTCGTTTTGAGAGGGAGGGAGGGGGTGGAAGTGTGGTGAGATAGAGACAAAACAAGGACATAGACATATCAATCACTGGAAAAAAGAGCACACTGGAATCAGAAATTAATAGAACTTGGAATTGGAATAGAAAGCAATAAAACAAAAAAAATCGGTGCAACAAATTAGCGGAATGAAAATGACTTGCCAGTACCATTCCCGCACCCAAAAAAAAAAAAAAAAAAAAAAAAAAAAAGAAAGAAAGGAAAACGGGAGGATCACAAACCTAACGCAAAATGAAGAACAAATAGAGATTACGAAAAAAAAACAACTGATACCAAAAAATGCGAATTAAGTAATAAACCATGTCAAGAACAAGCAAACAGAGAGAACAGAAAGCAAGAAAAAACAATTCATAGTCGAAGGATTGGAAGGAAGAAAACCTACAAATCGTTTCCGATTCCAAGATTGAGCAATGCATAGAGCGAGGCGATCTTAGATTCATCGTCTTCCAAATCAAGCATTTCAACTAGCGGCGGAATGGCTCCCAGCATTGCAAGCATTCCTCTCGCTTCTGCATCCTCTTTTGCAAGCAACCTTACTCGACTTGCAGCCGTTCTCCTCTCCGCCAAATTTTCATCCTGCAATTTTTTCACTACGCATTTGAACTCTTCCAGCACCTCCTCCTTCTTCTTTGACTCCGGCTCCGATTCCGGCGACGACTCCAGTCTAAGAAGATCGAATAGCTTCTCCGACTTGGCATTGGACCGTTTCGGTCTCACTTCCTCCTGTTCCTTCACAATCTCGGACATCGACCTAATCGCCGAGGAAACGGTACCATCGCCGTCGTGGTGATAGCGATAGCGTGAACTTCCACCACAACTTACAGCATCAAAAAATTTCCTACGGAATGAAGCAGTGGAGAAGGAAGTACAGAGACGGAAATGGCCGGCGGCGGCAGTGGAAGTGGAGACTCGGTCAAAAACTACAGATCCAACGTCGTTTCTTTGACACTTGGCCATATCGGAAACTGCAAACGGTTTAGGAAACTAAATTGCAGGGAAAAGAACAGCACGAGGAATCTCCGGTGCAAGAAGAAGAAAATGGCGATTCATCATTGATTCGATTTCGCTCTGTTCTTCAATCTCTTGGAAAAAGAAGTTTTCGTTTGGTTTCACAGAGCTTCACACTACAAACTCAAAAGCAGAGTGAGTGTTTAAGTTTAGCGGCAAAAACGATGGCTTACTTTCCACTCTACCCTCCTTTATATTCAATTATTTTTATAATTATTATTCAATTTTTTATATACTTTATATTTAAAAAAATCAATTCCATTTAAAATTTTAAAATCGGCCAACATTTTCATATTTTTAAACTAATTTAATTTCTTATTTTGTGACTATTTATTACAAAAATGTTTAATAAATATTTAAATTTTCAATTTTGTCAAATTTTTAAAAAATCTTTACTAATTTTTTAAAACTTTTATTTTTATTTTATGTAATAATTCAATAAGTTTTTATAAATTTTTAAAACACAAATTTAATAATATAAAGATTTATTACATTCAAAATTAAAATTTTAATTTTAGCTAACATATTCAATAAAAATCTAATGTAATAAAGTTTTAAAACTATGTAATAAGCCTTTAATATTTAATTTTTTGTGTTTAATTAATTTTTAAGTTTTTAATTTTGTGTTTAATAAGCTTTTAAAAAATTAATAATTTAAAATATTGAAAAGAAAAAAAAACGATTAAAATTTTCTTTCTATAACCTTAAATAATTATTTTTAGTAATTTTTTTATTAAAATATTAAAATATTATTATTATTATTTATAAAGATGTTCACATCTGAGTTTTTTCTAAATACAAAATTGTAATAAATATTAAACACCATAGAAAAATAATTTAAACCCATAATTATAAATTTAGTTAAGTTAAAAAATAATTACTATCGTCTCTTCAATTAGTAAATAAATTATTACTGTCTTTCCAAAGTAAATTTCTTCAAAAATATAAAAAATAAAATCGGAGGCCCCCACTTCAATGTGACTCCCATTCCTCAATAGTATACTGCTTGGCTGTGGGATGTGACAACGCCCATTACTATTCTTCCATTTAGACCGAAGTATTTGACTTTGGTAAATGAATTATTTAATTTACTTTATAAATAGCTTATTAGGTTCGTATTTCATTACATAACTCTATTCAATGGAAACCCTAACCAATTTCCGTAACGTCTCTATGATGTCCCACATTAGTTGGAGAAGAAAACAAACCACCGTTTATATAAATATAAAGCATTTTAAAACCTTGAGGAGAAATCCGAAAGGGAAATCCCTAAAGAACAACATCTGCTAGCGGTGGATCTAGTTCGTTACAGTCTCCCTTTTTCATTTCCTTAATTTAACAACATTGTAAATAAAGATATTGAATTCGAACAAGCAGTTACGAAATACCTCAATTGTTTGTTCATTTCAATAGACGCCCAAGTGATAGAGGAGTACATGAATGGATTCAAACCACATCTAAACGAAGTGATTACGAAGATATGATGGTTAAAAAATTGGAGAGGAAAACCAAACATTTTTTTATAAGGATGTAAGAAAAAAGACATATTATAAATTCGCAAGGCTGATAACGATACGTAACAAACAAAAACAAACAATATCTACTAGCGATGAATTACTATCTATATCAACAGATATATCTTTCTTTCCCATGGCTGTATCATAAAACCTTCAAAATTAAAGTTGAACGACTAAGTATGAAAAGTTGAAGTAATTTTAAGAGATTACGAGATTAACGAAGAAGATGTCAGCAAAGTATGTAAAGTTGGTCAAATTTTGCGTCGGTGTGTTGCCAGCACCAACCACAATAAGACAGTTTCCCACCAAACTTCATAAAATATCTGAAAGCAAAGGACAATGTGGGCATCCGTCCCTAGCAAAGGACACTCATATCAACGTCTGGTTGTTGATTGCCTGCATTTTGCTGCTCAAGAATCATACACTAAATCTTATTTAAACTAACGAATAAAATGATATCCAAAGAGGGATTCATTTCATGTACCTTACACAACCTTTGATCATAACAGTTCACAATTGTTTGCCAAAATGGATGGATTTCATGGTTGATATGTTCTTGAGAAGCAACCATTCATGTTTTGGTGCGGAAATTACGATCATGGACATATTATTCAAGACAAGACAACGGAGATAGTTTTTAGGATCTCAGATTTTTACATTACTCTCTAGACGTTCTCAATCCCGAACTCTCTTTTTTGCATGGCTAACTTGCTTCGCTATCACATCTAGTAAGATATCATTAGCGGAGTCGAGAGATCAAGTGAGAAACATATGGTTACTAGCTTAATGTCACTATTGACGTATTTTTTTACGATCCAAAAATTTCAAAATTCTCGCTCCAAACATATTATTTTCATTCACACAAAATCATTATTGCAATTTCTAAAACAGTTTCTTATAATATAAAGAAATCAACAAAAACCAAACTATCACCTACATAGTTTGTACCTGAAATCAGTCGTGAGCAACCATAGCCTCCGAGTTAGAATCGCTATCTATCTTCTTGATGCACAATCTCTTTTGGGGAGGCAAGTCCTTGGCAAACGACGATCTATCGACGTCGAGAATGATCGAGTCATCTTCTTGAAAGTCGCCTCTCAAAACTAGCATTGCAATCTCGTTTTCTACTAGTTGTTGTATTACTCTCTTAACTGGCCTAGCTCCATAATTGGGGTCAAATCCCAACGTCCCTAAAAGCTCAAGAGCTTCTTTGGTGTAATGGAGATTAATGTTCTTCTGTTTAAGTCTATCACGTAACCGTTCGATCTGAAACACGAACACAAAAACCATACGCTAAAACTAAATCTAACTTGACGTAATAAAAATGTCAAGACCCGATTTTCAAGGCTTCGAAAATCAGACCGTGAACTAAAAGACGAAATCGAAAATAAACAAAAAGAAAATAGAAGAAGAGAAAAGTAAAAAGATAAAAACTCCATTTGGTTAAAACAAGAGAGAGAAGATTAGTTTCGAAATTATTACAAAGAAAATTACAAATGTAAAATGAAACACAAAAGACTCGAAAAGACCGACAAGGGACTGACGCTCCGGAACGACCCCCTCTGTGACCGCACAGCTCTCGAACGCTCCTCCACCTCGACCGGCACCTAAAAAAAAA